GATATGCTATTCCATACATAACCCTATACTGTATACTTTATGAATCAATAAAAAATTTACAATTTTTAATTACAAACCTGTGTTTTCTATCAAAATTACTTCTTGCGTGAATTTTGGGACACCCTTTACTAGCAGGGTGACCCTGAGCAAATCGGTTAGCCTCTCTGTGCCTTTGTTTCTTCACATATACAGGCCAGATGAGAACGCACCCACCTCCTGGGTTCCTGGCACAGGGTGAGTCTCCGTAAAGTAGCTGCTGCTGGTATTCTTCTCCAATTGGCAAAATCTGATTCTCTTTTTTTAAAATACATTTTTATTGAGTTTTTAGAGAAAGGAAGGGAGAGGGAGAGAGAGATAGAAACATCAATGATGAGAGAGAATCATCTACCGGCTGCCTTCTGCACGCCCCCCTAATGGGGATCAAGCCCACAACCCGGGCATGTGCTCTGACCGGGAATCGAACCCGAGACCTCTTGGTCCCTGGGTTGACGCTCAACTGCTGAGCCACACCAATCGGGCAAAATGTGACTCGTGTCTCAGGGCCCAACTCGAACACCACATCCCCGAGGCGGCTTTCCCATCCCTGGAGCTGTGCGCCCTCGGCGGTGCCCGCCACGCTGCCAGCCTGGCTAGAGTCCTGCCGAGATGTGTGTGAGCTGTGCCTCCGTGGTGGGTGCGGGCCTCCGAGCCTGGCTGCCGGGGGTCCCCCAGCAGACGTCGAGCCCCCAGAGAAGGACCCGGGAGAAGGACCGGGTCTGACGACTCTGCGGCCCAGGCTGAACTTCAGGCCCACCTCAGTTCGGGGTGACACATTCCACAAATGCTTCATTACCTGCCTGCTGGGCGAACAGAACACTCGCTTACCCCCATCTAAAAAGTGAACATTCTGCTTACAGTTTTCTTCTCTCTACACGGCCTCAGCCATCAGCCAATTTAGATGCATTACCGTCAAAACAAAAAACTGAAATGCACACCTGGACTGTAATCTCTCCACTTTCTCAGACAAAATCCCTGTGGATTCGGTCACTAAAACAAGACTCTCCATGATCAATGATGGGCGGGGGAGGGGTGCCTAGCCATCACTTCCCCCAAGATGACCTGCAGTTCGTTTTATAGCCACTACAAAGCCCGAAGCCCCCGCCCCAGAGGGCTGGGCGGTCCTGCCCTGTGCAGACATCAGGAAATTGCAGGAAACCTGAACAGTGTGGAGTGTGCAAGCCGAGAGCATAAAGTTCCTTTAAAAGAAGAAAGGCTCGGTTACGGCTCTGGGACCCACCTCCCAGGGCTTTTTGGCGAGCAATTAACAAACACACCACTTCCTCCGCTCGCCGGGGCGGTTCTGGGGCTGGTGGGGAACGGACTGAAAGGTCCTGTCTCCACCTCGCAGACCCTCCGGGGTTTACTGCCCTCGCAATTCCTTTCCGGCTGCAGAGCGGTGGGGTCCGGACAAGCCGCCACCGCAGGATCAAACGCGGGCCCCCCACGCCGGGCGGGCCCCCCACACCTTCCATCCCCAGTGGCCTCAGAAGCAATTAAATCTGAGACGCCATCAACCACCCTGGGAGCAGCTTTGGAAGAGTGAATTTCCTGGGATTTTTCTTGTTTCCCGAGAACTAGTTACAACAAGCCCATGAACCTGCCCAAGAAGAGAGCTGGCTTCAACGTTCTCTCTCCCTGGCGTCCGTTGTCCCAGTCAGCATTCATCGCCTGGCTTCAGAGCTCACCAGGGACCCTGTCCCCCAACCCCCACCCTCAGAGCAGGAGCTATTCAGTTTCCTTCTCTGGGTCGGTCCTCCCCTGGGTCGATCCTCCCGCCCTTCCATCCGCAGCACAGGCCTCAGACAGAAAACATGCTCAGCAGATGTCCCCTGAAGTGCGCTGACCCACCCAGCACACGCGGGACGTCTAAATGCTTGTACACGTGGAAGGTGCAGAAGGAACCGGGAAGGGAGTTAACCCAGTTTTTCCCATAAACTCCCACCATCCAACTGGATCCCACAGTGAAGCTGTCCCCGAGGCTACGTCTGGAATAGATAGATCATCACCAAGCTTCTCCTCCCAGGAACCCCAGGGCCGGGCGAAGGGAAGACGCTGCGGAAGGGTCAGGAGAGGCCTGGGCATCCCCTCCCCACCTTGTGGGGGAGGACACTGAGGCTGCCGCGAGCAAGCTGTGGTCACACGCAGGGCTGGAACCCAGCTCCCTGGGCTCTCGGCCTCCCCTGATGGGGGAGTGAGCTGAGCCCAGAGCCTGGCACACAGTAAGAGCTCGATAAATGTGGGAACCTAGAGCACCAGGCTGGGTAAGCTTGGCCTCAACTCTGCCCGGGCATCGGGGTCTCCGTGAGCCAGTGGTTGGTTGAAAGATCAAAGTCCCAGTGTCCCCCCACCCCTGATGACCTTGACCAGGAGACAGGACCAGGAGGTGTGGTCATTCATGAAAGGGTAGAATTTGGAGCCAGGAAGAGCCGAGTTCGAATCCTGCCCCTGTTCCTTTTCTCACGTGCCCTGGGGCAAGTTCATTAACAGGGCCAAGCCTACCTCTAAAACCAGGATAAGAGGGATACCTCTTGAGAGGTGCGAGGTCAGCGGAAGGAGAGACGGGCTGAGGGTGCCCGGCAGTTACTCGGGAAATGCAGGTTCTGGAGGCAGGAACACATACCTCGCCTTGTTCTCCTGCCTCACGCCCGATCGCTTCTGGGAGGGGCTAGGACAGAGTTTGGGTCCCATTCCTGACATAGGTAAGCACGTAGGGGAGGTTTCATGAATACAGGGTTTTTTTTAAAAAAAAAAAAAAAGGAATAATAATGATGGAGTTTCTACAGGAAGGTAGTCACATTTCAAAACAAACCTCGCCCGCCACTGTGGCTCAGTGGTTGAGCATCACCCTATGAATCAGGAGGCCATGGTTCAACTCCCAGTCAGGGCACAGGCCCGGGATTTGGGCTCGATCCTTGGTGGGGGGCATGCAGGAGGCAGCCAATCCATGATTCTCTCTCATCATTGATGTTTCTATGTCTCTCACTCTCCCCCTTCCACTCTCTCTGAAATCAATAAAAATAAATAAGACATAAATAAAACAAATCTCATTTCCATTCCATTCCACAAAGAGATCATCTACTAGAAGACATAAGCGGTGTGTGACATGCTGACGAGTCCCCAAAGGTGGCCCACCCGTGCCCGCCGCCGTGCGGACAGAGCCACAGCGTGGAGAAGGGCTTACCGAGGAGCGCGTTGTGGCCGTTGTCGTCCGGCAGGAACCTCCTGTCCACGGCACACACCAGCAGGTGGCCGGGCAGGCTGGGGGCCTTGGCGCCCACGAGGAGGAAGCCGGCGGGGACGTCGATGGGCTCGCTGCCGATGGAGACGAGACGCAGGTCCTTCCCCGCCTGGCAGAACCCTAGGGGGAGGGACAGGTGTGCCGAGGGCTCCGGGGCCAGGACCGCCGGACAGAGGGAGGAGGGCATCCTGGGTCTTGTCGGGACCAACCTCTACCTCTGGGGGTGGTCGGCTTTGTGATCAACCCTCAGAGATGCAATTGCCCCCGTGGTTACGGGTGACACTTGGCCCCATGCTGTGATGACTGTCGGTGTCACCATATAATTACTGCACACGTGGAGCTCAACAGGAAAAATGTAGACAAACGATGGTCAATTGAAATGTATACAAGAGCAGGTGTGGCTCCGTGGATAGAGTGTCGGCCTGCAGGCTGAAGGGCCTCAGGTTCGAGTCCAGTCAAGGGCACGTACCTGGGCTGCAGGCTCCATCCCCGGCCCCGGTCAGGGAGGCGTGCACAAGGCAACCAAAAAATGTGTCTCTCTCACATCAATGTTTCTCTCTCTCTCTCTCTCTCTCTCTCTCTCTCCCCATCCCTTCCACTTTCTCTGAAAATTAATGGGAAAAAAAATGTCCTCGGGTGAAGATTAACAACAAAAAATAAAACGGTGTCAGATGCACCCAGATGGGATATTATTTTTTAAATGTATCCAAGATAAATCCGCAAGAAATGGCGAGTGACCTGGTATTTTCACACCCTGCATTTTACGTGTATGAGGACCGGCGAGAGGCAGGAATAAGGGGTGAGGTCCTGGGGACACTGGCGGCCTTGGGGGACAGATCCGGGGGCCCAGGACCCAGGGGACACTCAGCATACAGACTCTTACTCTATACCCTTGGAACATCTTGTACTTAAGAGCTTCTAAATACAGGGGCAGGCAGAAGTAGGTTTACAGTGGTAAGGCCAGAATTAATAACACAAAAATCAACTGTTTCGCATACTCACAACTGGAAACCTGCTATGCCCACCCCTGCATCGCTCCTATTTAATAAGTGCTAGTAAGTGTCCAAAAGTGTCAGGGAAAAAGGAAGGAGAAGGGACCAGCTGAGGTTTCTGGACGGGCCCTTCCGGGGTTGTCCTCGCTTAGCCTGCTCACCGATCCCAGATGCTTCTCCTATCGCTGGTTTCCGAGCGAGACGGTGAGTATGTGAACCCCGACGACGCCAAGGCCGTCGCTGCGAAACCGCAGCGCTCTGGGGAGACTCTCCCCGGGCGCACCTGCCTCACCGTTCACAACGCACGGTCTCCGAGGGCTCCCTCTGCCCCTGGCGGGAGGCAGCGTCGGGACATCTGCGGGCCTACTGTGTGCGGCACCCGGCTGGGAAGCGGCAAAGCTGCTGTGGGCCCCCGTGGGGCAGTGCTTCTGCCCCAGGGTGACGAGATGGACGTCGAGGCTCAGGGAGCTTACAGGGTTGGCTCAAGGCTGCTGAGAGGTGGGCAATGGGGCCGGGTCAGCCCTCAGGCTGGGGTGGTTCCCCTTCATCCTCACGGGGAAGCCCTGAGACTGAGGTCGAGCGCCCAGTGGGTCTTCACCCCCAGGCCCTGGGCCCCTCCTGCTGTGTGGAGGGCCCCTGCCTCCTGGAGAGCTGGGGGACCGGCTGTGGGCAGTCGGTGTGTTCACTGCACTTTCTTGGAAATTCTCTGAAAATCACTCTCATGACCACCAATGGAGAGTCCACCATTTTCTTCCTTAATCGGTGGCCTGTGAGCGCCTGGACGCCGGACGTGATACTTCTGGAAGAGCCAAGGGATTGGCCTCCCTTCGCCCGGAGGAGCTGCCCCTGCGAGGGCCGATTCCCTCCCCTGTGGGCCATCCTGCACCCACAGGCCCACAGGCAGACTGCACGGGAATCACTCCTCCAGCCCTGCCTGCCAATCAGGCTCCTATGCAAATGCACTGCTAGCAGTTCCCCGAGCTAGCGAGCTATCCACTCACCCTGCTAGGCCTTTGCACATGCTGTTCCTCTGTCTGGAAGGTCCAGGCTGTCCACAAACCTATTACAGCTTCCCGGCTAACTCCTGCGAATTCTCCAAAACCCAGATGGAGGGCCACCTGCTCCAGGAAGCCCTCCCTGCCTGCGTCAGGAACCTCTCCTCTGCTCCCACGCACCCCACCCCTGCTCGCCCAGCCCACCCTACCAGCACCTTCCACATCACGTGCTAAGTGGCTGCTTCCTAGGACGCTCCATCAACGAGGGAGCTCTCGTACCTTCATTTCCATATTTCCAGAGCAGGGCGCAGTGATTCTAACTAATTAACTGACTAATCACTAACTAGTGCCACCTCTTGACTGTCTGGGGATAGGACAGATGAGCTCACAGGTGATCTGGCCAGCGGCAGAGCTGGGAGCTTATCCGGGTGTCCCTGAGCGCCAAGCGGTCCCCCACCGGCATCCCCGTGCCTCACAGCAGCAGGGATTCAGTCACTGAGTTTACTGGGCTCCTCCGATAACGCATGTTTGCTTTTTCAACAGTAAAATACCGATAGATGTGAAAGTTTATTCCTACCAATCAGTTTCGAGCTGAGCACTCGGCAGTGCAACCACACCTGAGTGGGGGAAATACATGTTCATTTTAAAATAACTAATGTAGAAAAACGAACTCTGGGATCTGAATCCACTCGTAACGTCCAGACAGCGGCTGAGGGGCTGTGAGCTTGGCCGAGCCCACAGGGCCTGGGGTAGCCAATGCTGCAGGCACAGGAGGGAGGGCACCCAGCCACTGCCCGCTGGGGGCTGTGGGCACAGGGACAGCCGCGGACGTGGGGCAGTGGGCACCGCCGGGCAGGGCTGGCAGCTCACCGTCCGTGGTGCAGCATCCTTCGGGAGGGGGGTGCATCTGGTAGGCGGTTGGGGGACAGCTCGGCTCCAGGCCCCCATCACCCTCTTCTTCTTCTTCCTCATTGTCAACTCGGCTACCACCTGGAAGGAGAGAGAGGAGGGGACAGGCAGAGGTGAGTACCAGCAGGTGTCTGCTCCTGAGTGACCAGTCCTCGCACCCGCACCGTGGGTGGGGCATGGCCACCATCTTCAGAGGGAAAGCGGAGGCTCGCTCAGGCCCATGACTGTCCCAAGGGCACAGACTCAGGCCGGGGCCTGGTCTCGTGACCTCCAATTCGGGGTCACGTCTCTTCCCACCCATGAGGGTTGCACGCGTCTGCACACGCACCGGGGTTCAGTCTGTATATAAAGGGTTGAAAAGGACAGAGCGTGAAACCTGTGCATAGCAGGCACCCCAAGAATATCCGAGTGGGAGGCACGGTGGTGTTAAAACAGACCCTTTTAGTCTGGCCGGCGTGGCTCTGTGGCTGAGCATCAACCTATGAACCAGGAGGTTATGGTTTGATTCCCAATCAGGGCACATGCCCAGGTTGCGGGCTTGATCCCCAGTGGAGGGTGTGCAAGGCAGCTGATCAATGATTCTCTCTCCCTCTCTCTCTCCCCCACCCTCCCTTCTTCTCTGAAATCAATAAAAATATATATATTTTTAAAACCACACAAACAGACCATTTTACAGACAAGGCCACTGAGGCTCAGAGACCCGCCCTGGCCCACAGCTGCTCAGGGAAGCCTAAGGAGCAGGTGCCGGACGCCCACGCGGAGGTTCTCGGCAGCTGCAGCTCAGGCAGAACGCAGGCCAGGGTGACCCGCCCACACACAGCAGGAGGGCGCGGTGACAGGTGTTCGTATTTACCCGGGGAGGGCACAGGCACCAGCACCAGAAATACAAACACACCAGCTGGCCACACCCACCCACGTGCAGCCATTCGCTCAGGGCCGCCGGTCGGGAGCTCAGGGGCTCTGTGTACGGGAGCTGGTACGTTGGGAGGGATGGCAGGTGAGGAACCGCCCGGAGAGCCAGGAATTCGCCACGGAAATGCCACGGCTCACGGCTCCCTGCGCGTGAGCTGTCACGCAGCCTCTTGTCACTCCCTACAGACTCTCAGCTCCTGGAGGGCAGGGGGTGGGGGGGAGGGGGGACCCCTTCCTCAGGCGACACCTCCCACCTGCCCTGAGCGTGCACAGCGACGACGCCTCATTTACCAAAGCGTCGCTAAGAAAGGGGCGCGTTCAAATCAATGAAGGACCGTTGAAATACAGTCCTTCTCACTTCTTTTAACAGACCTTTTGGGTAAAACAAATATCTCCCGACTTGTCTTTAAACATCATCCAATAAAGAGCACAGATTTTCCCTGAATCGGGGTCCCTCCGAGCGCCCTGAAGTGCCCTGCCCCAGGAGATGAGGGTTTCTCCTTCACGTCTTCATGTCCTCTCTTCCTGCCGGCTTCTCGGTGGCCATTTCGCCTGCTTTTCTCGGACTTGGCCCTCACACCCTCCAGCCAGCCAGGGGGTCAAGTGGATTTAGGTCGGTGATGAAATCGTGTGCAGTGGGAAGAGATGGGACTGGGAATCGGGAAACTCAAGCTATAGGACAGTGATGGCGAACCTTTTGAACTCGGCGTGTCGGCATTTTGAAAAACCCTAACTTAATTCTGGTGCCGTGTCACATATAGAAATTTTTTGATATTTGCAACCATAGTAAAACAAAGATTTATATTTTTGATATTTATTTTATATATTTAAATGCCATTTAACAAAGAAAAATCAACCAAAAAAATGAGTTCGTGTGTCACCTCTGACACGCATGTCATAGGTTCGCCATCACTGCTATAGGGCTTGGGTTTGCCACCGTCTGTGTGGCCACAGGAAAGTTACTTAACCTCTCTGTGCGTCCGAGCCTGCAACCTGAAGTGAGGTCCCTCGGAGCTGAGAGCGGCCACGTGAGGAAACAAGGCCCTCGGAATACTCGAGGTGTGACTTAATCGCACAGGTACCGGCAACAAGCCTCCCTGTGGCCACTCTTTTAAAGGTGCCTGAGGGACAAGAGGCAAGCCAGCTCCGACCATGGCCTTGGACGGTCACCGCAGGAGTGAAGCAAGACCCCTGGTGCCGCCCTGGCCGGTTTGGCTCGGTGGATAGAGCGTCGGCTGTGGACTGAAGGGTCCCAGGTTAGATTTCAGTCAAGGGCATGTACCTTGGTTGCAGGAACATCCCCAGTGGGGAGTGTGCAAGAGGCAGCTGATGGATGTTTCTCTCTCATCGATGTTTCTAACTCTCCATCTCTCTCCCTTCCTCTCTGTAAAAAATCAATAAAATATTAAATTAAAAAAAAACACACCTGAGTATTAACTATGTGCAAAGCACTGACTGAGCTAAAGCAGCAATCAATACTTACTATGAGACATTAAAATTTAACAGATGACACATAAGTAGTTTAAAAGAGGTAGACCATGTGTCATAAGAAAAAGACATTAAAATGCTGTGTGAATTCAGAAAAGGGGGAAATTATTTTCACTTGGAAAGATACAGGGCCCAGCCCATTGTGGCTCAGTGGTTGAGTGTTGACCCATGAACCCAGGAGGTTCTGGTTCAATTCCAGGTCAGGGCATAAGCTCAGGTTGTGGGCTCAGTCCCCAGTGGGGGCTGTGCAGGAGGCAGCCAATCAATGACTCTCTTATCATTGATGTTTCTCTCTCTCCGAGGGTGGGGGGGGCTGGCAGGGAGCAGAGGATGGGAGTGAAAAGGGGGAGAGAGTTTTGGGAGCGCGAGGGCACGCCCAGGAGTCTGCACAGTAGTCTGCTCAGCCAGAAAGCACAGGAGTTCAGGCCCTCGGAAGGCATGGAGGAGGAGGGTCCTAAGCCGCTCCAAACCCAGTCTCCAAGGAAGCGGGATTAAGGGTCAAAGGTCCACTCAAGGCATCCGGGCCTTTGATGGGGTGAGTCAGCCAGGGACCAGCCGAGGAGACCTCCTAAGCAGGAGGGAGAACCCAGACTCTTTAGCC